AAGATAGGGGCCCGAGTCAATGTTTGGTCTCAACTTGTAATATAATTTTCTAAATAAGTCACAGCTCTATGAAGTTAGAAATAAAGCTGCAATTCAAATTATATTCAAATTAGCTTAAGATTCTTATTATAACCACATTTTGAATAGCTTTATCCCACTGTGCACGCCCGCGCGAGAAATCTAACGACTCTTAGTTACTTCTAACGATGTTTTTCAATCAGAATGCAGAGGCCAACCCACACGTTTATGGTTTATTCTAATAATAATCATTATTATTTTTTTGTTTTTGTTTATTTTTGTGAAGCGATCACTGACTTGCAATGTGCTGGCGTTGGCATGTTTGCTCTAAAATTTCACATGTGTATGCAAGTCGCGCAGCAACACTTTTGTGACAAATGTGCGACTCAGCTCTATGCAAACCGGCATACATACATATGTACACTCAAATAACAAACAACAAAGTTTTCACAGTCAACAAACGAAAATGTCAAGTTTTTCCATTTCACGCTACCGCAACAACTTTTTCGATTATATGTAAGATTTTCATTTTTCTCGTACGAATTTCCCCAGCGCTAGGAGAACTTTTTCTTTAGATATTTATGATAATTTATTATACACAAGTGCACATTTGCAAGTTAATCTTCAATAATTCATTTTTATTTGACTGCGCCCCCTCTTTCGTTAGGCGGTCGCCTTTCTCGTTTGCTGTGCCCCATACTAATATATGTAAATATACCCTAATGTATCAAAGAACTTTCTTTCTTCGAGTGTGTAACCAAGTGGTTGCTGTACAATTTTTTTAAAAGATTTTGTATTTATAAATTATAGCTTTTGGTTTGGGAGAATTATGTATGTAGATAAAATTAAATATCATAATTTTAGAATTTATGATTCTAAAAAATATAAATAGTAAGTATGTACATTAGGGCGGTAAAATTTTTTTACACTGTTCCCAACATATTCGGATTCTACATAAATTCTCAGGAAAAGTCTATTAGAGCAAAGCTTGAGAGGCAATTTCGAGCCCCCGAAATTTAAAACAAGCTATGTATCTTTAATTAGTACTATGTTATATGGTGCAACACCCTCCATACAAAAAAAAAATCAGTACTGTACTATCCATCGAAATTATAAAGTCTATTATATTTTGTGACTTCCAAAAAAAAAGTGTATATTAACGTGAGCTTAACCGATTTTCAAATACCTCCAATAATCGAGTATTAATAAAATTATAGAGGAGTTTAAGCTTAGAAGATTAGCATAAATGTTTAAAAATTGTTATAACGCAATCAAAATTATGAGATTTTTCAAATCGATCCAACTCGCGTAAATCTTTATATTTTTCCAAAGTAATTTGACGGAAGTCTTAAAATATTATAAATGTTATAATTCCGATGACTTGGCCTGTAGATGGCCAGTAAAGTTAATTTTTTTGTAAGAGTTGCCACCTGTTTAAAAGATAAATTAAATTATTTAATAAATTAAATGAGTTATTACAATATGTTTATCAGTATGTTTAAAAGTGCTTTATTTCTAGACTACTTGTAGTGGGATTGCCACCTGCTTAAAAAGTCAAATTAAACTTGAATTAAAGGAATAAAAAATCAAAACCGCCAAAACCGTATCAAAACACTACCAATTCGTAACCCTTTAGAAAAAATTAATCTACATAGGTAATCAGTATTAATCAAAAATAGCTTCTTTTAAAATTTCTGGACTGGAAATTGTTTTAAGAGCTTTGATTTAAGGGACTTTTTTCTAAGAATATTACACCAGTCAACACGATTTTTGGGTCTGACTTCTACATGTTAAATTTTAGTTTTTCCCAACCTAAAACTAAGGGAAAAAGATTATATTTTTTTATCAAAGTTTGCTTTTGTAAAAACTAGAGCAGTTTTTAAATTTTTTTGGAACTATGTATCACTAATTTTTATATTTTTTTTTTATAATTTTACTTTAAATTACGATTAGAAAAGTTTTTGCTGGATATCAGAGTCTTTTTGTTTAAGATTTGTGATAAACAATAACATATAAATTTAAAATAACAAGAAATTAATGTCTACGGGGAATATTTTTCGTATTTCTTATACTTATCGACGTACATGAGACAAAAGCAAACTTTAAGAACTAAAAATGAAAATTCAAGTGTTTTTTAATCTTTGGAATGAGAATCTAAGCATGAGAACAGAAACCCAAAGAAAAAAACTATCTTTTGTTGACCGGTGTTACTTATGTAGAATCCGAATCTGCTAGCAACGATGTCCAAAGGAATAATTTCATACAAATTATCCCGCCCTAATATACATAGTATATATGTATATGTAGTGGACAATTATTATAATATGTACTTCCCAAAATGTTCAAATCGTTAGTGGCACTCAGTAAATATTTTTTTTACATATTTACTTGTTTTTTCCTCATATTTAGTTGTTCACTTCAACAGTAAGTGTTTGAGTATTAATTAAAGTTAAGTAATTTTAAATTAAATTCCCCATTTATATCTACAAATTCTTGGCATTACTTGTGCTTGACTGAGTTCAGAAAATTATATTAAATTTATATTGAATAACCAAATGAAAAGTACAAAAGTACATAAACACATCACAAACGTGCTAAATGCTGATCTTTTTATAACTACACATTGTTGTTGGTACTTTAAGCTGTCAATATGATTTTATATTATCGACAAACATTGCTCACACGTTGTTGGGCTATTAGCAAATGTTAAATGAATCTGCAAACAAGAGCAGAATTTTCAATTAGTCTGCTTCGACTTTAATTATTAAGCCCATTCGGTAGTGTACACAGATAAGTAAGAATGTAAATTTACATTGCTTCAGATGTGTAAATTTGTCGAAATACTTATGCTATTTGCGCTTGTGTTATTTAGATGTTTCCTCTTAAGACTGACGTTCCATTTTATAGCCGAAATTGGTATTCATCGAAGAATTGTTATTACAATTAGTACATTAAGATATGTAGCTTTAAATGCGAAAAGACAATTAAATCAATAGGAAAGTTTCGAACAAAAACAAAAAAAAATATCGCAGTTTTTGAATTTTTCGAAAATACCTTTATGTGGAAGGTGGGCGTGGTTAATTTCCCATTTCGAAAATTTTCCATGCCTTACTTAGAGAGAGCAATGTTTTCTACCAAATTTCTTTGAAATCACTAACTCGATTACTGAGATACATACACGCATACATACACATTACCATAAGCTGATGGAGCCACGCCCATTCTCATAGATTAAAAAAAATATATTTTCGTCTAAAAAACTAATTTTTAGTAATTTAGCCTCAGAAATATAGTAGTTTTTGAATTTTTCAAAAATTCAGTTTATGGTAGGTAGGCGTGGATTCAGTCCACTTTCGTCCGCCCCCACCAACTTTAGTTAAGACATCTCAATTGTTCCCTCGACTGTAAGACGGGTCAGGCATATCTCTGCTAGCTTAAATCCCTAATTACCGCTAGTCTATTAGAGTAGACTAGCTGACGTCGCAGTCTACGTCGCGGCTCCCTCAGCCTAAGAAACACTATAGTGATTTTGAAGCCTAGTTTTGAGGTTGATCGAAAGCTTCCTAAAAGGAATCCCTACACCAACCTTTGATCTCGACGCACGCGATGTTAAGCACGGCGTGATATGCCATATTGAAAGCCATGAGGGCGGTTTACTGTCCCCGATCGAGCTTTCTTCGCGTATAAAGGCTTCTACTATCGACTTAAGGATCGATTACGCAAGTCCTGCAGCCCCTACGGGGTTTTAAGCAGAAACGAAGAGAGACCGGTTTTTCAAAAATCCTTCAGAGGGATGTGAGAGCTTTTGCTGCCGGTCTATGGTATAAAAC